AGGCTCAGTGGACTGACTGTGGAAGTTGCCTGCATGGAGCGGAGCCTATTATGGGCGTAGGGTCCGGCCTTTCAGGAGGAGTGAAGTGACTAGCAGGTCTCAGATGGGGTAGGGAGTGAGAAAGCGAGTGTTTCTTCAGGACGGAGAGGCCACCACATGGCCTTAGACCAGGTTCCCCCTCCCTGAGCCACTGTGCGGTGACTTCTTGCAGGTCTGCGGTTTAGGTGTTGGTGAAGAAACCCCAAGACCACCTTCACTCCAGGAGATTTGAGAGGACACAGAGTTCAAAAGGCTCTTGTATCCATGTTCATAGTTTATCACAGGGCATGGGTGCAGATTAAAATCCACAGTAATAGGGACAGAGGCTCCTATTGCGAGTTCTCAGTGGAGCTGCGTGCCCCTGCTCAGTTCTCTCAGCAGTGATGTGCGGAACAGCACACACGGGATTTGCCAGCAGCCTGCTAACTTGGGTACCCAGGGTTTCACAGGGATTTCATTTGTGGGTTTGGCGGGTTGTGAGTCTATGTGGCTGACCTTACTTTGTATCCAGCTGATAACCACATGGCCCAAGGCCACCCTCACAAGCCACAGTGACACAGGCTTCATGTCAGTGAGGACACTTTTCCCCAAAGACATTCCAAACAGACTAGTTGGTATGTGCAGGGTGTGGGTAACCCAGGCCTGCTGTGCCTCACACACGGTGGCTGCCAGGAGAGCCCTGGGCAGAGCTGTGTACTTGTGTTGGTGGAGGTCACCCCAGGAAGTGGAGTGCTAGATGTTGTAGGCAGGCCAAGGACACAGTGTGAGCCCTCTGCCCAGTGACTAGTGGGTGTGAGGTTCCGGCTCTGGACTCCACCATACCCTTTAACCTCAGGGACCTGTGGCACGAGTCCCAGTTCCTGGGCTAGCCCTTGTTAGCATGCTCTGTCCTGGCACTTGTTCGGGCCTTTCAGAGACGTCCTCAGGACTGCAGCTTCCTGCGCTCAGCAGGACTTCCTGCTCTCCTTACCCGTTCCCACAGGTGTCCAGAGAGGGGGTTTTTAGGTTTTGTTCTTATTTTCCATTTTATTGTATGTGTGTGGGTGTTTTCCTTCACGTATGTCTGTGTACCACATATGTGCAGTGGCCATGGAGCCCAGAAAAGGCCCCGGATTCCCCGGAACTGAGGTCACAGAGGGTTGGCAGCCACCGTGCGCACGCAGGGAAATGACCCGGGCCCTTGAAGAGCGGCCAGTGCTCCCCGCTGCTGAGCTGTTTCTCCAGATCTTCCCGGAGTTTCCTTTCCTTTTCTCCTCTCTCGATGGTGACTGGGCTAATCTGACCTCAGGCAATTGCAGAATCCTCTATGACCCTGGTCACTCTGGCTTTTTTGGGTGCCAAAGACAGAAATTCCACTGAACTCATTAGCTAATGAGCCCAGGGTGGCTCCAGGCGACGTAGAGGTGTCACCAGGAAAACCAGGCTCGTCTCTCCCCGAGACACGGCCGTCATGCACAGCCTTACGGCCTTTGAGGACCCTTGTGATAGATACATGTTGTCTCCTGCGGTCCCATGGGCTCTGCTGGCCCCAGGGACCATGGGAAGTGCCTGGCATGCTCAGGGGTGTTGACCCTGTGAGGTGGTTTTGACCATTTACATACCCACTTTCCTGTACACAGTGTGGTAATCAGGAGGCTAGGGGGTGGACTCGGGGTTTGCTCTCAGCCCTGCAGGTCAGCAGGAGCAAGAAGGGGCCTAAGAGAGCAGCATGTCTGCGGACCCCACCAGGCCCAGAAAGAGCATCAGAACGCCATCGGTGCTAAGTTGGAGACACCTGGCACTCACAGGGGCTTGCTTGCCAGCAGCTTCTTGGGGGAGATACCTGGGCTCAGGGGAAAGAAGGGTCTGCTGTGGGAGAGGTACAGTAGTAGGAAAGGCGTGCGGGGTGGTTTGCTGGCCAGAGAGGGCCGAGGGGCTGATGGGCCGCGGGCCTGGCTTGAGTGGGGGGTGAGGGATTGGAGAGAAAGGCAGTTCCTGATGGTCCCCTCCCAGGGGCTGGCTTTCCTCTGGTCCTTCTCTCCCAATGACTGCGTCTTCATCGAGGCCGCAGCCCTGGGCTCTGCCAGCACCTCCGACTCCAGGCCGCCTGGAGACACATCGATGGCCTTCCTGTGGACCGTGGGGCCCTCCTCACCACTCCCACCCAGGAGGCTGGTCTACGCCCGCCTGGGCCAGCTACGAGGGCAGGTCCTGCGGCTGAACTGGAGAAACCCCCTTCTCTGGCTGTGTCTGGTGACAGTGGCCAGGACTGCTTCTGCCAGCGGCTCTGCCAGGAGCTGGGTGCACGGCCCAGGAGCCGGGTGCGCGGCCCAGGAGCCGGGTGCGCGGCCCAGGAGCCGGGTGCGCGGCCCAGGAGCTGGCTTTTGCGTGTATTGTTGGTTCGGGAGCCCCATCCACAGCAGCTGGCAGGAGGAACATGAGCCTCCTGAGACCCAGAGTGATGTCAGTTCCTTGCACTGCCTCTGGCTAACTGCCGGACCGTCTCATTAGCTGTGTCCAGTCTGCTTGTGAATTTGCTACTTCTCTGTGACACACACACACACACACACACACACACACACACACATCTGCTGGCTCTATAGTTTCTATAGCATCATTTCTCAGAGAACTTTACAAAAGTTCTTTTTGTACTCTGTGAACCCTGGTTTGTTCTCTTGTTACTTTTTCTACCCTACTTCTGTTTTCCTGACTGCTTTTGTTTTCCTAGAATCAGCATGGCCAGTTTGTGATATGCATGTCAATCTTTCTTGATAGCCAAAGTCACCGAATTTCAGGGTCCCTGGCCCCAGAGCGAGACTCTGTCTCTGTTTCATGGAATGCTAGGTACACACAATTTCTCAGAGACCCCCCCTTTTAATTAAAAAAACATTATGTGTATGAATGTTTTGCCTGCATGTTCATGTATGCTCCATGTGTGTGCCTAGGACCCACAGAGGCCAGAATAGATGCTCTGAGACTAGAGTTACAGATGGTTGTGAGGCACCACATGGGTGCTGGGGATTGAACCTGGGTCCTCTGGAAGAACAGCCAGTTTTGTTTCTTTATTATTATTATTATTATTATTATTATTATTATTATTATTATTTATTTTTATTTTATATGCATTGGTGTTTTGCCATGAGTATTGGGTCCCCCTGGAACTGGAATTACACAAAGTTGTGAGCTGCCGTGTGGGTGCTGAGGCCTGAGCCCAGGTCCTCTGGAAGGACAGTCGGTACCCTCAGCCACTGAGACACTGGAAGGACAGTCAGTGTTCTCAGCCACTGAGACACTGGAGGGACAGTCGGTGCCCTCAGCCACTGAGACACTGGAAGGACAGTCAGTGCCCTCAGCCACTGAGCCACCTCCCCAGCCCCACAGCCAGTTTTCTTCATCACTAAGCCGTCACCCCAGTTTGCCAGATAGTCTGGGGGCGGACACATTGTGGCATTGTCCATGGCAGGCTTTCTGAAGCCTGCCTGCTTCCCCGGGGCACTCAGGCAAGCAACAGCCGTGGCAGGCTGTGGCCTGAGCTGGCTCTACCACCGTGGCAGGCCTGACGTGGTGGAGACAACCAAGGCACAGTCAGCACAAATTCCATTTCATAGGCCCAAGAATTAGAATTTCCAGTGTCTGTCCCAGGGATATCCCTGGTTTCCCTGGCGCTGGGGCCTCTTCCAAGGCGGTAGTAGCTGTTAGGATTTCTAAAAAGTAAGACTGTCTCCAGGTCTCCAGACCATGCTTTTTCCTGATGTGCCCACAGAGGCTTGGAAGGCCCTCATCTAGAGTGATGATGCCCTATGTAGCTACATGGAGACCTGGGACATAGCTGCCCTAGCCTATAGAGGCTGGGCCGGGCCTGGGTTTCTCGTGCTGGTCTCCTGCACAGAGCGCCATCAAGAACCTGACCCACAGACCCACCTCACGTGTGTGCTGCCTCCTAGGGAGGTACCCAAACTCAAGTGGCCACGCCATGCTTAGCACCTTAGTACTAAGGCCACGGCACTGACCCTTCCCAAACCTGGGTGTGAACACAGCCTGACCCGACCTCCCAGCTACCCTGACCTCCAAGGCATCTTCCGTCTGTGCCTTTGTGAAAGGGGTGGTCTCCTGTGGACACACATGTGCTCACACAGACAGTGTCACGCTGTGCACAAATACCATACACAGGTGCGCGTGGACATAGAATGTACATGTCTGCAGAGTGACACACACATTCCTGCACTTAGGCCTCACATCTGTGCACACTGCCCCTCTACTCACTGCTCGGCCACCTCAGTGCTGGAACAGTTTCTTGGTTGTCCCAGATTTCAGCTGATGCATTGGCTGTGTCCTGGAACTATGACACCAAATCATTGCACCTGTATATATTTCAGGGTTCTTTGAGTCTTCTTTCCAGAGTTGGTGCATCTAGATTGGGTCTAATCTCAGAACTAGAAAGTATGGGGAAATGCCTTCTGGGCCCCAGAGGCTCTGAGGCATGGGGTCCATGCTCACATAGCACCCAGGTGTGTGTGCACATGCCCAGCACAGGTTTCTGCCTACTGATGTGGGTATGTAGAACAATAGGTCCTTTGGGGTGGTAGGAGTGTGTGCTGGACAAAGGCCTGCAGGACTCTGTGTCACAGATCACCTCAGGTGAGTGGGCCGGCCTTGGGGTGCCGTGGGCCGAAGTGAAGTGTCTCCCTCAGTGCCATTTTAGGGGAGTGGATTTGCTGTCCCTTACCCTAGCTTTGTGTGTGGTTCCTGTTGCTGCTGTTGTCCCTTCCAGCACACACACACACACACACACACACACACACACACACACACACACACACCGTGTGGTGTGCCCAGGGTCAGGGAGTGTCGTGGTGGCGGAGTTACCGGACCTGGTTCTCACTTGTCCATCCCATTCCTGGTAGTGTATTCTGGGCCACTGAGGCATCTGAAAGGCCCCGTGACACTGCTGTTCATGGCTCACTGTTCTCCTTTTCCCACAGACCTTGTGACCGTGTGAGCAAAGCCTCCCTTGCCACCCATGTGCATCATCTTCTTTAAGTTTGATCCTCGTCCCGTTTCCAAAAATGCATACAGGTAATGAATGCCCTTTTTCCGCCTCTGCCGTGCTGCTGGGCCTGGGGTACATGGCTGCTCCTCACCACTGGGGTGCCATGTATGGAAGAGACGAGGGCAGGCTGCTGGGTGTGTGGGCCTGGTCTCTGGAGGCAACCTGCACAGGCCTGGCCTGGCTGTCCTGGACAGTGGCTGCTTAGCGTGGGGTGCTGGGAGGGCGGAGTGAAGGGGTGCAGTCCTGTGGGTTGTGATCAGGGTCACTGCTGCAGAATTCGGGTGGTGATGGCAGTGAGTTGGTTTGGGTGAGCGATCTGGAGAGCGGCAGATTGAGGGAAGCATCCGTGGGTTTTTGGCTCTCAATCTGAAAAGTGAGGAACCTGGAGTACCAGCCAAGGACTTGGGAGACAGTGGGCAGGGAAGGGTGAACTGGGGGCCCGCCCGCCCTGCTCTTCCCTACATGTGAACTCAGGGAGCCCCTTCATTCCCCAGGACATGTCAGCGTTTATTTGTCCATGTAGAGAATATGGCAGAGAATTAACCCACAGCTAGAAATGGACTTCAGAACTCCTCTCTCACGAATTTTCCTGGAGTGTTTTCAGACTTTTAAGATGCATTATAGCAATGACCTGAGTGGTTTCAGTGAGGTTCTCATGCTGAGTCACTATGCAGAATGGCAGAGGCACCACCGTGCCTGTCACAGTGACTGAGTTTCCTCATTTCAGGACAGCGATAGGAATGCTGGGAGTTAGCATTTCTCTTCCTGCAGAGAACAGGCAGCATAGTTGGATCAGGCTGAAGGCGGCAATTCTAGTGGCCCCTGGCAGAAGATCTAAGGGAGTCAGGGTCCAGTCTGCAGGTGGAATCCCGCAGGGAAGGTGATGGGAAGTACACCTAGGGGCTGGCTGGTGAGAAGTGAGCAGACTGTGAATCTGCAACAACAAACAGGAGAAACAGCCCCGCTCCAGTGCCCAGAGCAGAGCCCTGGGTGTCACTCCCGCATTAATCCACAGTAGAGGTGCTGGGGAGATGGCCTGCTGCTCTGCTAGAGGACACCACCCACTTGCAGTTCACAACTGTCTGTACCGTGAATTCCAAGGAACACAGTGCCCTCTTCTGGCCTCACTGGAGTATCTGGTGTAAACCAGTATCTGGTTTACACCAGATACTCCAGTGATGCACAGATATATGTAGGCAGAACACCATAAACACACAATCTTTAAAATTAAAAAGCTGGGTGGCAGTGGCACACTCCTTTAATCCCAGCACTCGGGAGGCAGAGGCAAGCAGATCTCTGTGAGTTCGAAGCCAGCCTGGTCTACAGAGTGAGTTCCAGGACAGCCAAGGCTACTCAGAGAAACCTTGTCTTGAAAAAATGAAAAAGAAAGTAGTCAGTAAGTATGGATCTGAGCCTTCACGTACTGAGCTGAGCAGTGGTTCAGCCTGCTCCTCTGCTGTCCCCCCTTATGTTCATGGAGCTCCCTTGCACCAGCAAAAGCAAAGTTGGGTTTCCATCTGGGGTGACCCAGCCCAACAAACAGTTCCTTAGTCTTGAGTGGCACATGAATCCCGGGGTTGGCCAGAGCCCACTTGATACTTTGTTCCTTGAAGACCACCTGCAGGTAAAATTAAAATGGGAAGAAAGAAGGATAAGAAATCGGCGAGTTTACATCACGTACAAGTAGGAAGTAAAGACCCGTGAGAGTCGAGTGTGCAGCACACCCCTGGAATCCCAGGCACAGTGGGCTCAGGCCGGACAACTCAGACTGGCAGCAAGAGGCAACACCACCACCGTCCCTTTCCTGGGTCACCATGTGTTCACTGGCTTCCTCTCTACCATGCTCAGAGGTTAACAGATCCATAGGGCCAGAAATCTCTGTCCAGCTTTAGGGGGCTGGCGTTTAGCTGTTCCTCTTCCTGCAGGGAATACTCAGAGCCTGTGCCTGTGGCCAGCTCCACCCACCTCATCCTTCCAGCAATCCTGGCCTCCGGGGGCAATCTCTGGGACTTACCAATCACCACCTGGGGCCTCACTGGAAATCACCTTCACATCCAATTAGTCTGAGACCCTGGGGGCCAACCTTTATTCATTCAGTTGGAAACCAGATGTGGTTCACATCTTTTAATCACAGCACTTGGGGGATGCAAGCAGGAGGTCCAAGGCCAACCTGGACAACATGAAATTCTGAAAGAAAAAAAAGATTGATCACCAAGCCAGACTTGGTCCCCAGGGCTTACTATTGACTGCCACAGGTGGCTTTTGAAGTGGGAGAAGTCTCCTTGGGTTTGAATGAGAATGGTTCCCATAGGCTAATAATTGGTCCCCAGTTGGTGGAACACTTTGGGAAGGATTAGGAGGTGTGGCTCTGTTGGAGGAGGAGTGTCACTAGGGGATGAGATTTGGGGTTTCAAAAGACTTGGGGCCATTCCCAGCATTCCCAGTGACTCACTCTGTCTCTAGTTTGTGGATCAAGATATGAGCTGGGGGCAGGGTGGGGGAGGGGGAGTGGGTGGAGAGATGGTTCAGTGGTTAAGAGCACTGGCTGTTCTTTCAAAGGACCTGGGTTCAGTTCTCAGCACCCACATGGCAGCTCACAACTGTCTGTAATTCCAAAATCTGACACCCTCACTGAGAGGACACCCTGGCAGTGCTTCAGATTTCTGCCATGTTCATGAAAGACACAGTCCCCAAAGAGCCGTATAAACATCCCTAAGGTCTAAAAGAAGTAAACACACATGCAGGCAAAACACCAATGCACATAAAATAATTATAAAAAAAAAGTATGAGCTGTCGCTGTTCCTGCCACCATGCCTTTGCTTGGCCATCGTGGACTCTGACCCTCTGAAACTGTAAGCCCCAAATGAAACACTTTCGTTTATAAGCTGCCTTGGTCATGGTGTTCTATCACAGCAACAGAAAAGTAACTAGACAGCTGTCCACAACCACAGCATATTATAGTTCCTATGTTTAAAATTCTAACTCCAAGCAGGTGTAGCAGTTCAGGCCTTTAATCCCAGCACTCCAGAGAGAGGTGGACCTCTGAATTCCAGGACAGCAATTTCTCACAGCTATAGACTGAGACTCTGTCTAGAAAAAAACCAAAAAGTGAAAAATAGAAATCCTAACTGGCAGTACATCAGAATACAACTCTCTTTAGAGACAGACCTTCAAAGAAATGATTGAGGTCAAATGAAGCCACGTGAGTGGGCCTGAATCAGCACTCTGGGTGTCCTGAGAAGAGATGAGAAGACAGACAGAAGAATGCCGGTGTGAACAGAGAGGTGGAAGACAGGCCCCTGGTGGGAACCATCCCTGCCGATGCTGTGATCCTGGACTCCCAGCCCGCAGAGCTACAAGACAATGAACTGCTGGTGCCGGAGCTGCCGGCCTGTCGTGATCCACTATGGCAGAGGGGAAGCCGGTGCTCCGAGATCAGTCAGCTTTCCCGGGGGACTTTGTCCTGTACTTGGATGCTCATATCTCCAAGGAAGACGCTTCGCTGCCGGCTTACAGCACACTGGTCTGTGTTTCTCATGGAGGTGAAGAGGCCTAACAGACCTCACTAAATCAGCCCTGAGCAAGTGAATGAACACGAACCATATTTTCCCAGCTTGGTGGATGAAGTTCGCTTCTGGTAGCTCCAGGGATGTCCAGTGATGGTGACAGGCTGCAGCCGTCACCTCCGTTGCAGCCATCTAGCTTCTGGCTTGTTCACTGAGAGGACGCCTGGGCAGTGCTTTACATTTCTGCCATGATCCCAAAAGACAAAAGTCCCCATAGAGCAGTTTAAACGTCCCTAAAGGTCAGAAATCTCCCAGGTCAGAATCATAAAATACAGTACTGGAGCCAGGCAGTGGTGGTGCACTCCCTTAATCCCAGCACTTGGGAGGCAGAGCCAGGCAGATCTCTGTGAGTTCGAGGCCAGCCTGGTCTACAAAGCAAGATCCAGGGCAGGCACCAAAACTATACAGAGAAACCCTGTCTCAAAAAACAAAAACAAAATACTGGAAAAGATGCTTGAAATTCTTGGGGTTTGATGTATAGATAGCTCAGTGGTAGAGAGTTGTCTTCCGTCCTCAACACTGCAGAAATAAAATGCAGTCAAGCCATTATTGGAGCTAAGGGTTGAACGCAGGCCCTGACTTCAACCCAGCAAAATGCCTCCTGAAGGACTAGGTCAAAAGCGAAGCAATAAATGCCGATTACTCTGGCTGGTAATTGTGTGTATCTCAAGATCTATAACTGATTACATGAAATACTCTTACAGACAACCTAACAGCTTTGACAAGATTGACCATTAACCACAGTAAGTCAGTGTACCCTGTCCACTCACCCAAAGAGTCATGAGCTGGAGAAACTTGCATTTTTTTATAAATGGAAATGCAGTAAAAGCATGCCCTTCCATTAACTGGGGAATTGTCAATGTTTAACTCCCATGCACAAAGCTGAAAATGACGCATTCTAACTGAAAATGTCTTTCTTGAGCATGTGGTGTTCATGCATGTATGTGGGTGCACGTCTGTGTGGAGGTATGCATGTGCACATGTGTGCATGCGTTCGTGCACATGCATGTGGAGGCCGGAGGTTCATGTTGCAAGTCTTCAGACACTCTTCCTTATGCATCGAGACAGAGCCTCAGTTGAATCCAGAGCTCGCCGATGTGGGTAGCCCAGCTTGTCAGCTTGCTCCACGGCTGGAGTTAAAGACACCCAACCTTCACATGGGTGCTAGGAACTTGAGCTCAGAGCACAGATGAACCTTCGTGGGTACTGCAGTCCCTCCAAGTGTTAGCTGAGGAAGTTGTCTCTCCTCTCATCTAGGACTTGATGTGGGTGCTCATCTCCCTAGCACATCCCTGAATTACAAAGTCCCCACCAACCATCGGCAGTTCAACCTGTGATAAACAACCCAGCAGTTAGTGTTCTTCAGTAATTAGGCCAACACATTTCTTGCTTAAAAATAGGCGATTGAGGTACTGGAGAGATGGCTCAGCAGTTAAGGTTTGATTCCCAGCACCCACATG